GCTGACTGCCAGACAAATGTTCTGTCACAAAACACTCGTAACAACCCTGGCTGCCTGGTGCCATCATGACTCCCACTTGACAGATGGAGCCTAGACAGGTTGGGATGTTTGCCCAAAGTAGCTCTGAGTTATACACTGACAAAACCAGAGTCTAAATCCAGGTGTACCTACTTACTCAGTGATTTTTCTTTATTTCTGAATGTACTTTCAGCCCCCTGAGAAATAAGGATTCAACCTCTTGGGTCAGCTAAAGCCTCCTCTTTAGGGCACTCCAGGGTCCTGAGAGTAATCTCTCAGGCTGCCATTAAGAAAACACTGCAATCTACAGAGTTCAGAGATCCATTCATTTATTTTTTTTTTCTTGAGACAAGGTCTAATTATATAGCCCAGGCTGGCCTTAAACTCTTATCTCCTACCAGGGCTTCACAAGTGCTGGGATTACAGGGGTAAGATACCATGCCCAGTTAACGGGTTTATTGTCTCAGTTCTGGAGGCCAGCAGGCAGCCAACAACTGCAGCCTTATCACTCTGATGTCACCCAGTCTCCTCAATGTGTCAGGAGGGATACTCTTCTCTGAAGGTTTTAGAGGAAGATCTGTTTTAGGCTTTCAGTGCCTTGAGTGTATTTATTTCATCTGATAGATATCTGTCTTCCTCTGTGTGTGTGTGTGTGTGTGTGTGTGTGTGTGTATTGTATCAAAGGTGTGCCAAGTGCCCCACGAGATCAGAAGACGATGTCTGATGCCCTGGAACTGGAATTAAATGGTTCTGAACCACCGTATGGGTACTGGTAATTGAACCCAGATCCCCTGCAAGGTCAAGCGCCTTTTACCACTGATCATCTCTCCAGCCTGTAGCTGAGGTTGGCCTAGAATTCACTATGTAGCCAAGGGTAGTTTGGAACTTCCAGAAGTACTCCTCCTACCTCAGCCTATCAAGTGTCAGGATTAGAGTCACAAGCCACCAAGCTAGGCTAACATCTCAGTTTTGCTTAAACAACCAAGGTTCAGAGAGTAATTTGCCCAAGGTCACATTGCAACTGAGCAGCCAAAAGTACAACACATCTTAAGCATGAAGTAGACTCAAAACACTTGGATGCTAAAGATGCTAGTTGAGTGATTCCCAAACTTTACCTGAAGAATTTGCTAAAATCTTAATAGCTTGAATGGCTTTTTAATATATATATATATATATATATATGCTGGGCAGTATGCCTTTAATCCCAGCACTCAGGAGGCAGAGGCAGGAGGATCTCTGTGAGTTCGAGGCCAGCCTTGTCTACAGAGTGAGTTCCAGGACAGACTCCAAAGTAATACAAAGAAACCCTGTCTCAAAAAAAATACATATGTTTTTATGTATATTGAGTGTTTAGCTTGCTAGTATGTGCACCATATACATGAAATGCCCGTGGAAGCCAGAAGAGGGTATTGGATCCTCTGGAACTAGAGTCAACAGCCAGTTCTGAGCCACCATGTGGGTTCTGGAGAACAAACCATGATACTCTACTAAAGCAGCAACTGCTCTAAACCATTGAGCCAACTCAGGCTTTCTCTTTGTGGCCCTGGCTGTCCTGGAACTAGCTGTGTAGACCAGGCTGACCTCAAACTCAGAGATCCTCCTGCCCGTCTCCCGAGTGCTGGAATTACAGGGGATCTGTGGTGACACATGTTTATGAGCTAATAAAGACACTGAAGATCAGAAAAGCAAAGTAGCCAAGCCAGTAGCTCTTACTTCTACAAAGGGCTGAGGAGATCTCAAAATACAGCCTGAGACAATGAATGGGCTCTTGTCTTTTATGTACCTCTCTAGGGCTGAGATTAAAGGTGTGACCTCTGTAGACTGATTCACTCTTATGTATTCCCTGGTGGCCTTGAACACAGAGAGATCCATCTGCCTCTGTCTCCTGAGTCCTGGGATTAAAGGTGTGTGCCACCACTGCCCGGCTCCCATAGCTAAGTAGTGTGGCTGGCTTTGCATTCTGATCTTCAGTGGCTATATTAGATCATAAACAACATCTCACCCCAGGGAGCTCCCCTTCACCTGGCGGGTGTTAACTTTTTTCTACCCACAGGATGAGGCTGTTGCTACCTCCTAGGCGGCTCACCAGCCGTTTTGATCAGCCCCAGGCTATGGCCATCAATCCCAGTGGAGCCCCATTTTCCTTTCAGGAGGGTCTCTACACTCTGGAGCACAAAATTGATTGGAAAAGTTGTACTTGACTCTCTTTCAGATAGCAACACCAGAGGTTGAAAGCTTACCTTCCGGCTACCTGAGGGAGACACAGGTTTGCTTGGGGACACTGATGAATCAGGATCCTGGGGTCCAATCCTCTCTGTCCTCTGGCGGCAATGTTTCATGCCTTTTAGCTTTCTTGTTGGAGCCTCGAGTTTTCCACCTGTTGAAGCATAGGTATGGCTGGCTTCATGTCTGCTCATGGTCCCTGCTGACCCAGAGGAAGGGAGACAAAAGTCACTGTGGGCCCTTCCATACTTTGGGGTCAGCAGCTGTGCTTTGGAGCCTTCCCTCCACCCTGCATTGCTTTGTGGTGCCAGGATTAAACCCAGAACTACAGGCTAAACTGTTTTCTCATCTATACAGATGGGCTGATTGAAAATCAAATTCAAAATCAGCATAGTAAGGGGAGGAGGGGGTTATGATGTGTCAATGAGAAAACAATCTCCACAGTAAAGGCCCCTCTTTAGCCCCCACGGGCAGATCTCTTCATTGCTCTAAACCAGTCGGTCTTTCGTTCTGGTTTCCAGACACTTCCCTCCACAACTCAGGCCCTCTCTCCAGCTAGGGGTTTCTCTGGACCAAAGGTGTCTGTTACTTTATTCATTGAACCTGTTTCTATGCAAACACACTCTAAGAGTGCTCGTGCTTTAGTGGGTGTCAGATCAATACACGAATTGGCTAGACAGTCTCAGATGCTGTGATAAAAGCCAAGACTAAAAGCAACTCGGGGAGAAAAGGTTTACGCTTCCTAGGGGGCTCTATGTCAGGGCAAGAACTGAAGCAGAGATGGAAGAAAGCTGCTTCCTGGTGTGCTCATGGAGCCCAGGGTTACCCACCTGGCCAGGGGCAGCACCACTCAGAGCGGTCTGGGCCATCCCACATCAATTATCAGTCAAGAAAACGTCCTACAGACTTGCCTAGGGGTCAGTCCAAAGGCTGCTTATTCTCAATTGAGAGTCCCTCTTGGATGACTCTAGCTTGTGTCAAGCTGATGGCAAAGAACCCAGCACGGATGCTATCATGATCAGAGCTATTCGAGGAGAGGCATCAGGGTGACCAGACACATCTGGCACGAGGCTATGTATTTTGGGAAGTGATATTTGAACCCAGATGCAGATGATAATCAAGAGTAATAAGTACAAACTGTGTGTGGTGGCCCACACCTTTCATACCAGCACTTGGGAGGCAGAGGCAGAAGGATCTCTGTGAGTTTGAGGCCAGCCTGGTCTACACAGTGAGTTCCAGGACTCCAAAGCCACATAGTGAGACTCTTGTATCAAGAAAAAAAAAAAAGCCCACCTACAAAACAAACCCAGTGGGGTGAGACTTTTTGTTGTCCCATTTAGATTTTGTTATTGAGACAGGGTCTTTTTAATGTAGCAGTGGCTGGCCTAGAACTCACAGAGATCCACTTGCCTTGCGTTTTCTCGCTGAGATTAAAGGCATGTGCCACCCTCCGGACTCCAAACTCTCCATCTCTATAAACCAGGGAAGGAAGCCTCCAGGGGAGTCTCAGAAACTTGGAAGGAGGCCTTCTCCTTGTACGGTTGTGTGGAGTGCTGCCCTCTAGTGGTTTTACAAGAGTGTGAACTAGCACACCATAGACCTGGAGTGCCGCGTGCTTAGGATTTGACTGGTGTCTAAATTTGTCCCTTGTTCTTGTTTTTCCCACATGTATTCAGTCAACAAATATTTCTTCAATGTGGAGCGTGTGCCAAGAAACGTTCTGAACGCTGGGGGTTAGAGCAGTGACACCACTGTTAGCGCAGCTGCTTTGGGTTAACATCCTAAGAGTTCCTTAGCCCGTACCTTACCTCACCTGAGCCCCACCCTCAACCCCCATATTCCGAAGCCAGCTACCCCTGACTTCTTGTTTCCCTTCCCTTTAGGTCCCGGCTCTTCACATTGCTAGCCCAAGTCTCAGTTCAGAGGAGACCCAAAGGTGTGGACGTGATTATCGTCTGCCCTGCAGAACAGAAAATTCCATGGAGCCCCAGGAAATCAATGCCAGCACGCTAGAAGCATGAGCAAATGGATCTGTGTGAGTTCGAAGCACGTCCCAGCCCGGACAGGGATATGTAGTCTCAAAAAATAATAAATACATTGGGGACTAGCGTTCTAAAATCAACACGACAACCCTGTTAACTATTTTTTTATTTTTTACCGTTTTTATTTTTCCCTACACATTTGCAGCCTTCTGAACTATAATTTACACGTTGGTGTTTGTACGTCTCTTCTACTAAAATGCTGGCTGCAAGGGGGCAGGGAATTTTGTCCCTTCAAACTCATGGTGATTCTCCTGCCTCAGCTTCCCCTGTGCTGAGATTACAGGCACACATGTCCACTCCGGGATAGACTCTGTCCCTCTTAATCGCAAATATAGTGCCTGCCCTCAGCGCCTGAAGTGTTGGCATCCAGTAGGCGCTCAATAAACCACCGACTGAACTCTAGACCTCCGCTTGATCTTTTTCCAACAGACCTTTTGCCACCTTGTTCCAAGTAGGAAACAGGCCTCAGGAGGCGCCCAGAGGTGACCTCGGATGGCCCAACTCAGGAGCACCGGGAGCAAAGCCACACGAGCAGCTGCAAAGAGAAGCGAGGCCTGTCAGCGTGAGGCGCTTCCAGGAAGGCGCGCCAGGGGCTGTGGGCGGGGCCGTCGGAGGCGGCGCGGGGCACGTAACTCGCACGGACACCGCCCACCTCCCTGCGGGCGGGGCATTTGAGTGGGTGTGGTGTATGTAAATAATCGCGGGGCGCCGGCCAATCGTGGAGCGCGCCGAGGTGCCGGCCTGGGACCGGACGCCGGTCGGCGCGCAGGCTCAGGTCGCTGCTGCTTGGAACTTGCGGAGCGGTTCTGTCGCCACTGCCTCGGCCTCAGGTTCGGGTGCGTCCGGCCGGGTGCGACAGTCTCGGGTGGGAGCAGGCGGAGGTGCGGCGCGGCCCGGGGCCGCAGCCCTCGCAGGCGGCCGCCGCCAGCCGCGCCTTCGCAGCGAACTCCATGCATCCGGAGCCTGCCCCGCCCCCGAGCAGCAGCAATCCCGAGCTTCCCTTGAGCGGCGGCAGCAGCACCAGCGGCAGCCGCCGGAGCCGCCGCCGCAGCGGGGACGGGGAGCCCTCGGGGGCCCCACCGCTGCCGCCACCGCCCGCCGTCAGCTACCCGGACTGGATCGGCCAGAGTTACTCCGAGGTGATGAGCCTCAACGAGCACTCGATGCAGGCGCTGTCCTGGCGCAAGCTCTACTTAAGCCGCGCCAAGCTCAAAGCCTCCAGCCGGACCTCGGCTCTGCTCTCCGGCTTCGCCATGGTGAGCTCGGGCCGCCCTGCCCTCCTCCCCTCTTCCTGCTTCGGCCGCTCCCGCCCGCAGCCCCGACGGGGCCCACAGTTGGGAGCGGGCTGGGCGTGCCTGGGGTGAGGGGGAAGAGCTGGGATAAGCCGTTGTGAGCGCCGGAGGGGAGCCAGAGGCACTGAGCTGTGAGGGACAGATGGACGACCCGAGCGAGATGCACAGGCGCAGGTGTTTTCAGACGGGCACCTTGTCGCGGCAAAGAGGTTAGGGTCACAAAGTGTTGCTTTTCTAAAATTGGTTTGTAAAAAAAGTCTGCCCCGCATGTGTTCAGGGGGGCAGAGAGAACGCACAAGGTCTGACCCACTGAGGACAGGTGTCTGGGGATGGAGATGAGAACCACCCTGTGCCGGGCCCTCCCACACACCTAAGGCCACAAGGCATTACCAAGGCTTCTTTATCAAATATTGGAGGGGATTTCCCAATACTTTCCACCTCCCCAGACTCCACACATTCTCATTCCCCCTTACTCCACCCCGCCCTCCCCCCCACATTCTCCAAGATCCTCAGCCTAGGGGTTGACAGCCACTCCCCATCCTCAGTTTCTTCTTCAGAAACTTGCCTCTGAGTCACTGGGTGTGGGGGAGGAGGGTGGGACATGTTCCCCCTTGAACGGGCTCTTGCTTGATTAGGAGACATATTTTCCTCCCCTCAAGTCCCAAGAAGATGGTACAAGAAGCCTCTGCAAGAGGCGCCCCTGGAGGCTGTTAGGCCCCAGAAGTTTAACTCTGGGAATACCTTCAGGCCTGACATCTTGGAGTTGGCCAGGAGCAGGGCTCTGCATAACTACATTATTATCTTTTGGTGGCATCAACCTGCATGGATGGAGTTTGCCTCCCTCCCCTTCACGAGCACTCGTGCCTCCCCACCCCCATCCTCCACCCCCAGGAGTTAGCTAAACCCTTGGCCTTGAGGAAGGGAGTGGCTGGCACCCTTGGTGTTTTCTTGGGAAGGGAACGTGTCTGGGTCGCTCTCCCTGTATTCTTCGAACAAGTGGATGAGTGCGCCAGTGAGCCTGGATGCTTTAGAGGCTCACAGTGCCCTGGGCCACGGGAAAAGGCCCGGAGGGGGAGGACCGAAGGTACCCCTCCCAGCTACCACTTGCTGCGTGTGTGTGACCTCAGGCAAATCACTGTCTTTCCCTCTCTGGACCATGATTTCTGAAATGGTAAATAAAAACTGTTCGTAAAAAGTTCCTTGGACACCACTGGATGATGGGGAAGCAGAGGATCTCTGAGTTTGAAGCCAGCTGGTCAATAGAGTGAGTTCCAGGACTGCTACACAGAGAAACCCTGTCTTTGAGGGAGGGGAAAAAGTTCTCCTGACATTGAAAATGAAGTTGAAGGAGCCCTTTAGTGGAGAAAGAGGGAGAGTTGGGTGTAGCCTATAATTATAGTATTCAGGAGGGAGAGGCAGGAGGATTGCCCACAAATTCAAGGCCAGCCTATACATAATGTAGTGACTTCCAACCAGGACTACTTATGAAGACCTTGTCTTAGAGAAAATAAAGGGGTAGTTTGTAGTTCAGGCAAAATGATAAAATTCTCTTTTTCTTTTCAAGACAAGAGATTCTCTTTGTAGCCCTGGCTGTCCTGGAACTTGCTGTGTTTGCAGGCTCAGAGATCTACCTGCCTCTGCCTCCTGAATTCTGGGATCAAATGTGTGAGCCACCACTGCCAGGTCTTAGCTAGACTTTTTTTTTTTTTTAATTCTCCAGACAGGGTTTTTCTGTGGCTTTGGAGGCTGTCCTGGAATTAGCTTTTGTAGACCAGGCTGGTCTCAGACTCATAGAGATCTGCCTGCCTCTGCCTCCCAAGTGCTGGGATTAGAGGTGTGCGCCACCACAGCTTGGTGAGTTAGACATTTTTATCTTTGATCCTGTGCTAAGCACTATGCTGGCTAACTCACTCCCCAACAGTCAGTTCTTGTCAAGGGGTTTTACCTGGGCCACACAGCTAGTCTGGTAAACAGGACTTGAACCAAGGTCAACTGGCAACTAGTTTGTTTTTTGAGACAGGGTTTCTGTGTTGTAGCCCTGGCTGCCCTGGAACTTGCTCACTCTGTAGACCAGGCTGACCTTGAACTCACTGAGATCCACCTGCCTCTGCCTCCCAAGTGCTGGGATTAAAGCCCAGCTGCAACTAGTTCTTGCTTAGGTATTTCTCCACTTGTCACCACAGTGCTTTGATAAGTGTCCAGCCAATGGCAGGTAGCACAGGTCTGAGGAATGAGAAGCAAAGCCAGAAAGCTGCTTTGGAAGCTAAAGAGAAAGTGTTACATTTTGTGGAGGTGAGCTACCATCTGTATCCTCTTCCTTCTCCAGGTGACATTCCCCTTCAGGTGACACTTCCTAGTCTATCTTATTCTCTTCCTCTGTAAGAGGAAAGACCCTGCTAAAAACAGTGGCAGACTTTAGAAGGCTGGGTAGCTAATAACCTTGTGTGGGCGTGGGCACCTCCATACTGTCCAGTCTGGGAATTTTGTTTTCTCAGTCTGGGTGGAGTAGGCTCCTGAACTTCACGGTGGCATCTCTACTCTGCAGACTAGGAAGGGTTGAATCCCAGGACAGCCTCCATGCTGAGCAGCAGTTTAGAGGGAAGCTAAGTACTTGCTGTGAAGCAGGGGACGCCTAAGACCTCTGGATGCATGGTCTGAGGTCTGATTGTGCCCTGCCCCCACTGCTGACACCCAGCCATTGAGTGAGCCTCAAGAGAGGAAGGGGTGCTTGACCGCCCCAGTGCCATGGTAACAGAATGACAAGTTTCCTGGATTACTCTCCCTTGGCTTGTGAGTCAGCACAACTAACTTCCTGCCCCCAGAGGGCTTCCTTCTGCAAACCTGGAAGAGAGGAGGAGCTGACATGACTGTTACTCTCTAGGGTTAGCCAGGTTGCCCACGATGCCAAATTCACCTGCTCATCCATAGCTGAGGGTGAGAGAAAGTCTTCCAGAAAGCCTGGGGAGACTGAGCAATCCTAACTTCACAAAAGAAGAGCAGCTAGGTTCCTGAAACATGATGAGTGTCCTTGAAGTTAGTTTTCTCATGTGTAAAGGTGGACAGATCCTAGTCTCTTGACTTGAATGAAGATTCATTACAGGAGCCCTTGGTTTTGAGGGTGGGGTGGCGAGCAATTTCAGGATCTGATGTGCTCTGTTCTTCTATGATCTGGAGAAACTCAACAAGATACAAAATGAACCTGAATATAGGGTAGATGTGTATCTTTTGTAGTGTCCCTAGAGCCAAGAGTGACCTTGGAGCCTACCTTTAGTCTGTCTGTAGGTAAGGTTACCACTTGACAACCTGGGCCTGACCCTGCCTCTTAAGTACTGTGATGATGATGCATAGCAGTCCAGTCAACTTAGGAGGGCAGGCTGTAACGTTAGCCTAAGCGGACGATAATTGGGAAGGTCAGCCTGGGGCAGTAAACAAAATGCTTTCCATGACCTGGGATCAATTATTTTTGGATTATCTTCCTCCTCAAATTCTACCCGCCAGCCCCCTTTTGTTCCAGGTTCCAGAGCAGGTTAGAAGTTGGCTGAGATTTCTGGGAAAATGAGTTGGAAGGAGGCACTCGAGTCATGAGACATTATTGGGTATTTATGACATACTTGGAGGTCAGAGATGAGCAAGAAATAGCTCGGTACTAATCCCCAGAAATGATCATTAATGCTGGAGTTGATAAGGCTCTTGCACTAGGCTACCCACAGTGCAAAAACTATCTAGAAGTGTCATTTCTTCTTCCTACAAGCATAGTTGTCCCCAATGAATGACTTGCTTCAGTGAAGTCCCTTGGTTGGGAAAACGGTTAGACCCTTTTGAGTGGCAGAGAGAGAACAGGCATGCATCAGAGGATGGTAAGGGCACAGAGCCCAGGAGCTCTAGGACAGAGAAGTAGGAACAGGGACTGCATCATCTAACTGAGATGCCGATCTCAGCCAAGCCTCTTCAGACTGTAAAATCTGCGGGAAGTCACTTAGATCTCAGCTGTCTCACCTGTAAAATGAAGTAATGATAATAGCAACCTGGTTGGTGTAAGGATTTGGTGGGTTGGAATTTGCAAATTATAATACCTGCCTTGGTATCTAGGAAACTTGTTTATTCGAGTTTCCATGGTGTGGGGGGCTGTTTTTGAAGGGTTAGCTGAGTTAGAAGAATGTGATTCCAACTGAGCCTTGAGAATGGTGGAGTGAGGTTTGGAGAAGAGCCTAGTCAGAGGAACTGGCAAGAGCAGTCACAGGCATCAGTCAGCAGGCCTTCATTCAGGGAAAGATACGGAGTCTGGTGTGACCAGCGCTGTGCCACACACCAACTCAATATGGTAGCCAGGCATGGTGGTGCAGAGCTTTAAACCCAGTGCTCAGGAGGCGAAGGCAGGTGGATTTCTGTGAGTTTGAGACCAGCCTGGTTTACATGGTGAGTTCCAGGACAGCCATAGCTACACAATAAGACCTTGTCTTTAAAAAAGCTGTATGATGCCAGGCGTTGGTGGCGCACGCCTTTAATCCCAGCACTTGGGAGGCAGAGGCAGGCGGATCTCTGTGAGTTCGAGGCCAGGCTGGTCTACAGAGGGAATTCCAGGACAACCTCCAAAACAACACAGAGAAATCCTGTCTTAAAAAAACAAAAAAAGCTGTATGGTAGAGGTCCTTGGTTGGTTGTTAGGAAGTTTGAACTTGTGTGAGCAGTAGGGAGCTAGCAAAGGTTATAGACAGAGGAGTGGCGTGAAGAATGTGGTAGTGATGGTAAAAGTGGTTATTATGCAATCCCTATTGTGTCTGGAAGGAGCCTGAACTCCCTTCTTTCGTTCTTGTCTAAGGCTCAGAAGCTCTTCAAAGCATGGGATCCACGCGGGGAAACGAGGGTTCTCAGCGGCTCAGATCACAGTTAGTAGGGCCCAAGTTCTGGTGTGTCTAATTTGGAGTCTGTTTCTCCGCTCCCTGCCTTGCCAGTACCCCCTTAGC